ATAAGATTGGTCAAGCAAGACCTACCTGCAACAAACCCGTACTGGCTCTCTCTCAGGATGCTGCCATCAGCCAGTCTGTTGAGAATAGCCTCTTTGATAATCTTTACTAAGACGTTCCCTAGAATAGAGGTCAGGCTGATGGGCCTGTAGTTTGCCGGATCTACTTTCTTCCCCTTCCTGAAGATAGGCACCACATTGGCCTTCTTCCAATCCTCGGGGACTTCACCAGAATGCCAGGAGTTCTCAAAGATCCATGCCAGGGGCTGAGCTATGATGCTAGTCAGCTCCTTGAGTACCCTGGGGTATAAGCTGTCAGGGCTGGGGTGTAAGATGTCAGGGCCTGGATGGAGATGTCATCAGTGGTACAGACTTGCTTCAGTGCACTATACAACTAGACCTGGAACTCCTCCTGCTGTCCAGGGTCCTTCAGAGCTGTGACGTTCAGCCATCTCCAGGCAGCCTTCTGGGTCTTCCAGTGTCTTGGTGCCAGGCAGATGTTCATCACTGAGTGCACAAGTCAGTGGTCCATCCAGGAGTCTTCAGATCCCTTCATGGCCCTCATGATAAGCATGTCCCTCAGGTCTCTACCTTGGACAATGATGTAGTCCAAGAAGTGCCAGTGCTCCAACCTCAGATGCCTCCACGTGGTCTTAAGCTGGTCTTTCTGGCAGAAAACAGTGTTCATCATGATCAGGCTCTGTTGGGCGAATTTGGTCAGGAGCAGGATACCACTGGTACTGACCTTCCCCATATCATTCTTGCCCATAGTTCCACTCCAGATTTTGTCGTCATGTCCAACCTGGCCAATGAAGTCGCCCAGGAAAATGACCTTGTCACCAATATCTTCAGGCTCATTTACAGGGTGTCAAAATAGGAAGAATACAAAAGTATTACCTCCCATCCACAGGGCTTAATGTAAGCAACTCCCCCACCAACAGACTAGGTTTCTTTAGGCTCTGTAAAGCAGTAAGAGGAAAGCCTACCTAAGCCTTTCTTGGGGCATCCCTATATTTCAGTATTTTCTTCTATTTGGAACAGAGTAATCGGAAAGAAACACCTGTACTAGCAGAAATGTAAAGACTACTTTTTGTCATTGTATCTTGATTGGCATTTTATGTCTATAGCATATCTTCATCTCTAAAATGGGGGTAAATATTTCCATACATTATATATGTGCTGTAAAGAGATGTATAGATATTGTAGTGATGATGCACATCCTACAGTTTTAGTCTACATCACATCTACATCACAATGGATACAGTCTTTTCATGTTGTCAGACTGGTGGCCCAAAAGGACAAATTTGGAATTTGCTACATATTCATTAGCAAGCTGGAACATTGGTAGAAATGTTTTCTCATGGGCTCTCTCCCATGTGGTGCAAATAAGAATGATCTTCCAGGTAACTTTATACAATAATAAGTTGTATTCCAAGAAATAAGAAAAAATACTACTAACCTCAAACTCTCAAAAAGCAACAGTTCCCTGATCTACTTGCTATAGTGATAGGGAGGAAACTACCTGGTTTGGTATAGATTTATATAAACCTACACCAAACATTTAGGTCCGTAAAAGAGTATTCATGTGGTAGATGCTCCTAGATTCTGGTATTTGGAGTACAGAGGCATAACACTTCTGTGATAGGGATACGCAAAGGCAATCCTTTGCAGGGAAATGGAGTATTTAAAATGCTGGTTAGTTTCTATTAGTGGTATCCAGGATTAGAAGCTCACTGTGCAAGACACTATATAAATACAGGACAAAAAGATGGTCCTTCTCCAAAGAGCTTACCATTTAAGTATCAGGAAAGAAACAAAAGCTAGATATAAAATGAGAGGAGTGCAAGAAAATGAAGACACAATACTGGTCAGTTTAAGGAAGCAGGTACACACTAACAGCAGTATAACCATCACCCAAGTGAGTTTTAAGAAGGGATTTGGAAAAAAATAAGCATAAGCTGTTTTGTTCTTAAGTATACCACATTTTCATACATACCTTAGAAAGACAGAGAGAAGGAAGAAGCAAAAGATCTTTTCTTGTAGTAACTGAGTTGCAGCAGGTAGGGAGCAAAACCTGCTCGCTATTCTGCTCCCCACAATTTGCATATAGATTTTACTCTCACTTTTGCCCTTAACAAGCAGAAACTGTTCTTACCATATTTCGAGCATATAATGCACAATGAAATTTCCAGCAGCTGCTTTTTGGGGGAAAAGTGTATTCTGTATGTGAGAAGATATGGTATATTAAAAAACATTCACATGTAGCAGTATGGAGATGTTTTATTTTATGACAATGGAAATGATCATCCCATGATAACAGACATACATTTATTTTTTTTCACTGCTTGAGGTAGGCAGGGTAGGGAAAACACTCATAAAACAAGGTTACCCAAGTTTGATTTTTAAAAAATACAAATATACCAAATGTATTCAGTTTTGCTGGTCTACAAAATGACAGTGCAATGAAACAAAATACCACAAATCAAAAAGGGTCACTTTTACAGATTACTATTTAATTTAATTTTTTTTAATGATTCTTTGATTATGGGCCAACGTTTTGTATCCCCCTGCTCCAAGCCCATTTTATTTAGGTCTTAAGGATTAAAGAGTATCTGAAGCCAAACACAATTTATGACTATGTGGTACATGCCCTTCTTGGACTCTGTATCACTCCATACTTACATACATAATTTAGGAGCAATTATAAACAGTTTGAACAATCAATAATATCTTAATTTAGCAAGCATAAATAGTATTCTGGGGAAAGAATTTGCAATGACTTGCATAGAAAAAATAGAATACTTGTCTTCCACAGTATCCTTATATTTATTTCTACTGATTTGAATGCTTTCTGGAGGTGAACACAGTCAAAACTGAGAACTTACTGATATTCTATTTATAAAGATACATAAACCTTTGTACAATTTTAATAATTCCCACCACTAGCCTCTTCAAAAATAAGCAATTCTAAAAGTTCAATGTAACCTATGATACAAAGATACTTTAGAAGGAAAGAGTTAAATTACCTTTTGAAGGGTGGCTTCCACTGATTTCATGTAACTAGCAATTAATTCTTTATCTCTGTTGAAAGGAGAAATGAATTGTTAATAAAAATGGAGACTTTACTAATGCACAAGTTACTTTTATACCAACAATATCACAGTATCATATCAATGATTCAGTTCTTTTTTCAGGAAAAAAAACTTATTTGTAACAGCCTATTCATTCTCAGTCATATTCCCATGTGCTTCCCCTTTTTGGTATTCAGTACTGAAGTGTTCATAGTTGCGCAAACTTGTATAATATACAGACTACCATTTGTAGCATCATTCCAGAAGAAGGATCCTTTTGTGTGAATCAGAGAAGGCCAAGCTTGCAGTGTATTATAGTAGTGTCACTAGATAACCAGGTGTGTCCTTTCACTTTCATGTACTGAGAAGATGGAAAGATCTGAGCAAGACCAGGAATTTTTCAATAGCATTCAAGAAATGTATGTTGGGTTCATAGAATTCAATTTGCATGGATCTGTCAGGCTCAGATAGACTACACTGGGATGTACACCTAGGACAGAAGATCCTGTCCACTGAGAAGAAAAACTGGGGACCTCTGCCAACTACTGTACTAAGTTGGTACCATGATATTCTTCAGTTTGGAGTAACAAGAATGACCATTTCCTCCATGGCAGGGAGTTGGACTTGATGATCTGCTCAGGTCCCTTCCAACCATACCAACTATGAAATGAAACTTCATTTGTATCTGAATACATTACTTTGTTAATCACAGAATCATAGAAAATTAGGGTTGGAAAGGACCTCAGGAGGTCATCTAGTCCAGGGGTTCCCAACCCACGGGCCACAGCCTGGTACCGGGCTGTGAAGGGTTGGCTGCTGGTCCACAGGAGGTTTGGCTGACAGACCAGAAGTCCACAAGTGACCAGCATACTGTGGACTGGCAGGCAATCCTTTTTTATACTCAGTATAAAAAAGGGTTGGCTGATATGCTGGTCACTGCTGGCCCACAGTTTGCCAGTCTTCAGCATAAAGTTTGATGACCCCCAATCTAGTCCAATCTCCTGCTCAAAGCAGGACCATCTCAGCTAGATCATCCCAGTCAAAGCTTTGTCCAGTTGGGTATTTAAAAACCTGCAAGGATGGAGAGTCCACCACCTCTGAGTAACCTGTTCCAGTGTTTTTCTACTCTCCTAGTGAGAAAATTCTTCCTAATATCTAACCTAAACTTCCCTTGCTGCAACTTGAGACCATTGCTCCTTGTTCCGTACAGTCCAGCTCCACCACCTTTTGAACCCCACTTCAGGTAGTTGAAGGCTGCTATTAAATCCCCTCTCGGTCTTCTCTTCCCTACACTAAATAATCCCAGTTCCCTAAGCTTCTCCTCAGAAGTCATGTCCCCCAGCCCTGTCACCATTTTTGTTGTCCTCCGCTGGACTCTCTCTAATGTGTCCATATTCTTTCTGTAGTGGGGGGCCCCAAAACTGGACACAATTACTCCAGATGTGGCCTCAATAGTGCTGAATAGAGGGGAATAATCACTGCCCTGGACTAACTGGCAACATACCTATCAGTGCAGCCCAGTATACCGTTGGCCTTCTTGGCAACAAGGACACACTGCTGGCTCATATTTAGCATATTGTCCACTGTAACCCCCTGGTCCTTTTCTCCAGAGCTGCTGCCCAGCCAGTCAGCCCCCAGTCTGTACTGGTGCATGGGATTGTTCCGTCCTAAGTGCAGGATTTTGCACTTGTCCTTGTTGAACCTCATGAGATTTCTTTTGGCCCAATCTTCCAATCCTCCACTTTATCTAGTTCACTTTAAAACCTAGCCCTCCCCTCCTCCCAGCCTGGTGTCATCTGCAAACTTGCTGAGAGTGCACTCTATGCCATTTCCAGGTCACTGATGAAGACACTGAACAAAACTGGCACCAGGATCGACCCCTGGGGCACTCCACTAGATACCAGCTGCCAACTAGACATCAAGCCATTGATTATTACCCTCTAAGCCCGATGCTCCAGCCAGTTGTCTAGCTACCTTACAGTCCATTCATCCAGCCTGTACTTCTTTAGTTTGCCTGCAAGAATGTAATGGGAGACCATATCAAAAGCCTTGCTAAAATCAAGGTATACCACATCCACTGGTCTCCCCACATCCACACATATCCTAGAAGGCAATCAGGTGGGTTTGGCATGACTTGCCCTTGGTGAATCCACACTGACTGTTCCTAATCGCCTTTTTGAAGTGGTTCAGGATGGATTCCTTGAGGATCTGCTCCATGATTTTTCCAGGGATTGAGGTGAGGCTGACTGGTATGTAGTTCCCTGGATCCTCCCTTTCCCCTTTCTTAAATATGGGCACTATGTTTTTCCTTTTCCAATGATCCAGGACCTCTCCTGATCACCAGGACTGTAGTCTGGGAGATGACCTTGCCTCTGAAGGCTGAGTCAAAAAAGGCATTGAGTACTTCAGCCTTTTCCTCGTCCTCTCTCACCAGGTTGCTCCCCCCCCCCCATTCAGTAATGGACCCACACTTTCCTTGATTCTCCTCTTGCTACCAACATACTTGTAAAAACCCTTCCTGTTACCCTTTACATCCCTTGCTAGCTGCAACTCCAATTGTGTTTTGGCCTTCCTGACTTCATCCCTGCATGCCTGAGCAATGCTCTTACATAGTTTACTGAAGAACTCCCTGTTAAACCAAGCTGGTCTTCTGTCATCCTTCTTAGTCTTCCTGTGCATTGGGATGGTTTGGTCCTGCATTCTCAGTAAACTGACTTCTTTAAAGTACAGCTAGCTGTTTTGGATTCCTCTCCCCCTCAGTCTGGCTTCACAGGGGATCCTGCCCATGAGTTCCCTGAATGAGTTCAAGTCTGCTTTTCTGAGGCCAGGGTGCTTACTCTGCTGCTCTCCATTCTTCTTCTCCTCAGGATTCTGAACTCAAATCATCTCATGGTCAATGCTGCCCAAGTTGCCATCCACTACTACATTCCCCACAAATTCCTCCCTGTTTGTGAGCAGCAGGTCAAGAAGAGCATGGCCCCCAGTTGGCTGCTCCAGCACTTGCACCAGGAAGTTGTCCCCAACATTCTTCAGAATGTTCCTGGATTGCCTGAACACTGCTGTATTGCCCTCCCAGCAGATGTCAGGGTGACTGAAGTCCCCCATGAGAACCAGGGTTTGTGATCGGGAAACTTCCACTAGCTGTTTGAAGAAAACTTCATCCACCACTTCCTCTGGTTTGGTGGTCTATTGCAGACCCCCACCATGACATCACCCTTGTCAGTCTCCCCTCTAACCTTAACTAAGAGACTTTCAGCAGGCCTATCTCCAGTTTTTTGCTGGGGCTCTGAACAATCATGTAGCTTTTTTAAAGAAAGTGCAACTCCTCCTCCTCTTCTCCCCTGCCTGTCCTCCCTGAACAGTTTACACGTGTCCATGACAATGCTCCAGTCATGCGAGCCATCCCACCAAGTGTCTGTTACTCCAACCACATCATAGTTAAGTGACTGTGTGAGGACTTCCAATTCTTCCTGCTTGTTTCTGAGGCTCCATGCTTTTGTTTACAGGCACCTGAGGTAACTAGTTGATTTCTCAGGAAGTATGAGAGCACCTCCCCTTCCTACTTACTCTTCTTCCAGGTCTCCCATTTCCCCACATACCTTAGGGCAGGGGTGGCCAATCTCAGCCTGAGAACAAGCCCGAATGTAGCAATGTACTTTGCCAAAAAGCCACAGTAATATGTAACGTTGTGACATAACAACTATGGAAGCTGGTCACCTTGTGCTTGTCAAAAGAGTCAAGGAAACATATATTAGCTTCTGAAAAGCCGCATGTGGCTACAGAGCCACTGGTGGCCCACCCCTGCCTTAGGGCTTTGGTCTCCATCCTCTGGCGAACCTAATTTAAAGCCCTCCTCAGTAGGTTAGCAAGCCTGTCTGCAAAGATGCTCTTCCCTCTCTTCATCAGGTGGATCCCATCTCTTCCCAGCAATGCTTTTTCTTGAAAGAAAATCCCATGGTCTAAGTAGCCAAAGCCCTCCTGGCAACACCACCCACACAGCCAAGTGTTGATATGCACTATGTACCTGCTCCTGTCCTTTTCCTTGACCAAAAGGATCAATGAGAACACAACCTGAGCCCCTCACTCCTGCCTCCCAGGAGCAGGGCTGGGGTGGGGCAGGGAAGCTCACCAGGCTGAGGTGAGGGCAGCAGCATCCCTCTGTGGAGTGGGGAAGCTCACCGGGCTGGTGTGTGGAGGTGGCGGCCACCGTGTGCAAGCTTTCCTGCCCTGCAAAGGGGTGCCACCGCCCTCGCCCTGCCCCAGCCCACCTCGTGGGAGGTGGTGGCACTCTGTCCCTGCCCACCCACATGTACCCCCTAGGACCGGTCCAAGTATACCTGGCGTACACATACCCTCCCAGTTGACAACCTCTGATATGGTGAAAAGATCCTCCCTTGAACCCAGATCCAAAACCATCATCAAAGAAGCCAACCTTAGGAAGCACATAGGAAGTGATCATTTCGTTCCTTCATACAACAAATAGATCATTAAAATACAGTCACAAACTGGCATTCCAGGACTTTCAGGCTAACCTGAGAAAGGAGCATGAACTGATTCAGGAATACAAAATGAGTTGATACGTGCATTGGGCCAAAAAATAAAATCAAATGTAAACCCTAAAACAACGTATATGTTTCCTCTATAGGTTACTGAGACTGCATTAGGCTAATCCACATGAAAATGACATTGAATACACAGGTGGGCTGTGTAAGCTTTCTGCAAAAAAATAGCTTGGAGCAGCCTAACCTAGAAGTTTGACTGGGGAGATTAGACTGACTCCAGATGAATGTCTGCACTGCTTCAAAATGCAAAGATAAGTTTCTTCAATAGAAGAAGCAAATGAAAAAGGAATAGTTCCTCCGGCTCACTGCATCTGTGTGTGTGCATACACGTGCACGCGCACGCGCGCGCACACACACACACACACACACACACCCATTGTGCCTCCTGGTGGCATCTCTTGGGGAACACGTAAGAGAGCTCCAGGAGGAGGTGGCAAGGCTCCAAAGTATCCTCCATCATGACGAGTTCATCAATTTGCTGCTGCAGGAGACCTCCAGGACTGTGGAGGAAGAAATGCCAGAGACAGTGGTAGAGAAGAGAGGACATGGACATCCAAGAGGGTGGAAGCTGAAGACTTGTGACTTCTGGCAGCAAGCAGAGATCTTCACCTCCACCTGCAGAGGTTTGTCTGGAGAATCGTTCCTTGTTTTAGAAGACTCCAGATTTCTTTGTCTCTATTCTGACCCCTAGATGGACTCTATTCTCTGATAGGCATTACAAGTTCTTGCTTAAGGTCAGCATCAACAGGTATGTCTCAAGCACAGCAAGCAGGTTCTGGATCACTTCTTGTGAAGTTCAGGAAGATGCTCCCTTAAAAGTCATCTAGTAGAAACTGGAGCATGCACAGATAAGTTTCTGCCAGGTCTGCTGCCATCAAAGGTCCCTTGGGATGCCTATACATAAGCAGCGAGGCTGCTAAAACGCACTGTAATTACAGCACATTGGAGTGGATTTGATTAATCGAATCTGCTGAAACGTGGTAAGTACTGCACTCCAGCAGACTCCAGCATCTCATGTATCAGTGACCCCACACTTAAAGATGGAGTTGGGAGCGCTTTAACTAAAGCTTATAGAATGAGCTTTAGTTAAAAAGTACCCCTGCTGCTACCTACTTAAGTGCGGGGACACTGATAAAGGAGACACAGTGGCACTTTAATTAGAGGGGCTCTTGGAGTCCCTCTAATTAAAGTGTTTCCCCCCACACTCCCAGAGTACGTGTATAAATGCCCATGGTGGTTGATCCTGCAACTGTTTAGTTACTTGAGGTATGGAATCATCAGGACTTCTTTCTGATTTTATTCCTAGTATGAAAACAACAGACCAGGCCCCTGAGCACCTTTCATTTAGAGATCAGTTGTACTGTCCTTAGCTCTAAGAGATGCAAGGTCTCCTTTTATTCCTTGATGGGTTTAAACGTACATTTTCTTTGGAGGAGGAACAGCTATGCCGGGATGCATCCTGGCACAGTTGATCCACTTCATTAGTGTTTACAGACCTCACCCAGGGCTGCTGGCCTGCAGCGTTGGGCCCCTGCTGCTCCCAGGGCTTCGAGGGCCTGATTCTGCAAGACAGTAGCCCTGAGTATTGCACACCTGACTCACATCTGTAAGTGGAGGAAACCCTCCGGAGTTGGGGTGCAGCAGTGAGATACTCCTGCAGAGTTCCTCTATTTGCAGACACCCATCCTAAGTCAGGGCATAGCAGCCTGATACATGCACTGCAGAAACCTACTGCAGAGGGATTCCCAGGGTATGCCTGTGCAAGCACACTCTGCAGGGGAATTTTTACATCATGCAATAAGAAAACAGAAGTCTACTCCCATAAGGCATTACAAGCAGTGACTACCTGTGGTCACAGCAACATTTTGGGGTATTTGAAACATGACATTTGAAGGGACTAGGATGCCCGTTTATTTGTGCTGCCATAAAAATTTCTATGGTTTCAAAAGGGTGACATTTGTTTGCACCTGATATCTTCTCTTACTTGAGACTGGAGATGAGCTGAAAAAAGGATTTTCAAGAAAGTGGACTAAATCTACACTGGGTGCATCTACATGTGTGCTTTACTGCCAAGTTGACTAATTAGCTCTGCAGTAAAGTGACACAGTCTACACATGTGTGCTGCTATTAGGGCACAGTATACTAATTCACACAGCCCTGGATAGAACGGTTTGGAGACAGTACTATCTGATGGCAGTCAGTTACTACGCCAAAATACACATATAGACAGTGACCAGGGGCGTACGTTGCATCCAGTCAGCACAGCCAGCCAGTGGCTTGCTCTGTCCTAGCTCAAATGGATGCTGCCCCAGGCACACCTGTAGACACTGCACCTAGGAACAGCTGACTCCAGTGCAAACTACTTCAGAGTTTATCGCATCGTCCTAATTTCACATGTAGATACACCCACTGCCTCTATATCTGCAACAAGAGAGGCACAGCAAAAATATTTCAGTCTGGGGAAAAGGTTTGTAAGATACTATTTTTATAAGCAAGCTAAAATACTTTTCTGCACTGGTTTATTTCATAAAAATAAAAAATAATCAATTATGATAAATAGGTAAACTAATATGGTAAATTTCTTCTTGGTTTAGGTCTTTCCTGCCATAGGAAGGAATAATTTAGTTTTCAAAACTGTCTGCATCTAAGAAAATATAAACCTTTTATTTCAATATAAATAAAGCATAAAAACCAAACAAATCCCCCCAAAATTGTTTTTGTTCACTTACCTTGCTGCACATCCCATAAGAAAAATCTTGCAAAATAACACTTTATCTTATTCATAATATGCACTTACGAATAAATTGATAAAAATTCCCTAGGGTTTTGTTTTTCACTAGTCAAATGTACTATAAGCATGTAACTATAAGCATACCTAAAAATAAAACCTAATGAGTTACTAATCATGAACCAAAAATATTCAGACTAAGTATAACAAGAAATGCTATATTTTCTCATATACAATATGCACCTTTTACCCAAAATTTGGGTGCATGTATTAGGCAGGAAAGTTGATTTTCTGCCCAAAACAGAAAAACCCTGCTTTGATTCCTGATCCATGGTGCAGCAGCTGAGACATTACAATTCAGACAGTTGAATTAATGGCTCTTGTTCTTCACTCTACAGGTATAAATGATCATCTCTCCTTTTCAATGGTCTTCATATTCCACTAATCACGCTAATCTTTCTTGGGGTTATTTTACTGTCTGCTAGTTGTTCCCGGTCTCTCTCTTCTGATTTCACAACCCTGATGACTTTAGCTCTGTTCAAAATCATAACTCTACCCTGGATACCAGTTTTCAGAAGCAGGTAGAGTTTCAGCAGGAAAGGGAGTGTGAATCAGCTGAAGATAAGGTTCAATCCCTGCTCTATACAGTCATAACGCTAGAAAAATCTTGTTTTTCCTTTGTTCTGTCTTTCAAAAACAAGCTACGTATTATATTATGGGGCATGTTGTACAGGAAGAACTAGAGTAATGTACTGTGAATGTTAGGTTTTTGCTGGGGAGTAGTCAAGCCCAATTAAATTCAGGGAAACTACTTTAGACCATGGATCTCAAGAGTCATTACCAAATTTTTCCAACATCATTACATAAAAAGAGAAATCTCTGTATAGACTTATGGCTTCAACTAAAGGCCACTGAAGTAAAAAAATGGCTCCCACTGACCTTCATATCCGGCCTATTTTAAATGCTTAAATGTAAATTGCATACCTGTGCAACAATGATATGGAAACAATGGAAATAAGCCATCTCACTTCTTAAATTAACATGCATTAGACTTCAGATGCTGCAAAAGATATGTTAGCAAATTTGTAAAATAACAGGCAAACAAAAATGTTGGTGCTATTTCAGGACACAAATTTTTTATTTTATGGGATTATTATATAAAATATACACTTAGTATATTGAACTAAGTTTTCTCCTTAGAAGATATATCACTGAATTTCAAAGCAAGACAGCTATACTTTTGTTTTCTAGCTCTGCATTATCCAAGGCTAAAGCCCTGTGCATGAAAGTAAAAATTGATCTTTTGTCTGTTTTAAGTGATCTCCCCAAGGTCCCAGTGCTCACTTTGCTGCCATGCGGAGGGCACTCTCTGCATCATGGATGCTCTCTTCTAGTCGACGCTTGTCCTGCTCCAGCTGGGTAAGATGTCTATTGAGCTGACGCAGAGATTGATCTTTTCTTCTCAGCTCCATCTTTGCCTCGGAGAGACTCTGCAAGCAGACAGAAAGCAGAGGTACTTGTCAGCCCTGATAATTAACTTCAATTTATGCCATAGGCTATTAAACAAAGAGGAATACAGACTGACTGTGAAGTAGATTTGGGCCATTACATACCAAGGTTTTACAAATTTTCTGCCAAATACATTACTTATTTACTAACAGTAATCTAATGTTTAGTGCACTGTACTTTTATATCTGTTGTAAAACATTTATAAAACAATCTGTTGACTCAAAAGTATTATAAGTACTTAAAAATACTACATTCTAAGCACATGAAAATATGATGAATATGGTATTTTTTAAAAAGCTCTATGCATTTACACAATTTCAAAAAATTCAGAGAAAGAAAAGAATTCAGAAATAATATATTTGGCAATATTACCCACATTTCAGAAAAGAGGAGAGTCTCCAAGACAATCAAAAGAACTACCCAACTGTTTTTCTAGGGCACAAACTCAGTGTTAACTGCATCTCAAGTTATGACTAAAACATCACCTTGTGATATCTTGACTATTTTGCATGACTTTTCTGATCTCCAAAATACTTTGCATTTTTCTGCTCCCCAATGTATACACAACAACCTCTTACTTAGCTTTAACATCAAATGCTTAAAATCAATTCAGATTAATTCAACAGAAAACAAGTAGCACAGAAAGCTGAACAAGAAACATGGATAGAAAAACTATAGTCAGAGTTGTTCACTATTTCTGTTATACATGCTAATATTGCCAAAATGTTCTACCTTGATCATAACATCTTTCAAGTCTGACTTCCAGTTCTTTTCTTCCTGTATGATTGTTAGGGGTGGGGCATTACTGATCTGCTTGCACACTTTGGTAATATATTCTTTGTATATTTTTGTTTATGCCTATTTCTTCTTCCTCTTGTGTCTTTATATATTTTAAAAATATAACCTGGCTTCAAACATTCTTTTATGAGATACAATGTTTACCGTAACATTTCTCAAAGCAAAGTGGGCAGCTTTGGTTACGCAAATGCCGAGCTAAGTTCTTGTGTACTGTTTTGAAAATGAAGGGATATGTTCTATGTAATAACAGGAGTTTTAATATTTATATTAAATATGGTGTAGTGCCTTTCTTTTTACGATCAAAAGCTCTCAAGTCACTGAGTTAAAGGTATAGTTTTCAGAAGCAGTGAGTACCTGCAACTCCAGCTGAAGTCAGCATGAAATATGGATGTTCAGCTCTTGTGAAAATCAGGCCTAAGACATGCCAGCAAAGTAAATAATTTCTAAATTACAAATAGGAAGGGAAGATGAAGATTCTGGCCAAGGTGACAATCTGAGCAAAACTAAGAACAGAAGCTAGAAAAGATCCTAGGACCTAATCCAGAGAGGATGCAGTGTCACAGTTGCATGCCCCTTTTGTACCACAGCACAGGAGCAGAAGCCATTGGCTTTTAAGTCCCTCAAGCACTAAGAATCTGACCCCCTTTCTGCTCTCAGCACTCCCTTCCTTCCCCTCCATACTCAGCAGGTACATCTCTTCCTCTTCACTCTTCCACTTTCCCACCTACCACTACTGCTGTCCCTATCTGACCTGAGGGCAGGGAAAGCTCTACAGCCACTCCTGTCTCACCTAGTAACTGAGTCACAGACAGCAGCAATGATGGTGAGTGGGTTTTCCAACTCTGCCCAATCCTCCCAGGTAATCATTGCCGCTTCCTATGCCCAGAGGCATAAGTAGAGAGGGCAACTGGATGGGGAATAGAAGAAGAGAGGGCTTTCAGCTGAGCACAGTGGCTAGGGACAGACATTCGAAAAACCTGAGATTGATTCAATCTTTGATTCAATCTTTGCAGGTTAGTCTAACCTGGCTAGGCTAAACCAATTTGTAATTAAACAGCCATCCCCTCTGGAGTGGAGAAATGCAGGCACATGCTTGCAGTAGCTCCTTCCACAATACTGAGCTGAGGCGGCCGTGGTCAGGCCCCAGCAGTACATTCTGATTAGGGAGGGGTTCCCCCACCCCCTTGCTGTTGATAACAGAGCAGTGAGTTATACAGCAGGGAGTTACACAGGGAGTTGTTAGCGTTTATCAGCCCATCAATAAAACCAACTGCCTCTCTCATTAGTTCAAGCTCTTGTTAAACACCCTTTTTTCCAAGGAAGGAATGGAAGCACATTATCAGCTACCTGTTGATTAGCTTCAAAAATCCAATTTAAACTTAAATCAGGAAGGGATGTGGGACAGATATTGCATAAACTGGTTTGACCAAAATTAGTTAAGTCTGATACTGCATTCAACCCGGTTAATCTGAAACTGGTTTCAGCCATTTTTAAACTGGTTTATGTGCACAGAACATCTATTCTGTTGTAGGTTTAAACCAGTTTCTGATCACTTAAACCGATTTGTGTGTAATGCCTGTCCATAGTCAGAGAGGAGGGGAGGGTTCCAACAGCAGCGGGATGGAGAATGAGGCTCTTATCTGAATCACCGACTTTAAGAAGTTCTTGGCTCCTGATTCCACGATATGGTCTGCCCTCCCTGGTTTTGGTGTGGGGGGTAGTTGGGAGCAGCATCAGTTACTGCTCCTACACCCCATTTTTAAAATCCTGGATCCACCCACTCTCTATTAGAATTTGTTTGAGCTTCAAATTACAAAAATGTCTTCCCTGTACAAAATGTATTGCTTAGAATTCCCTATTTTTAATTTATGAAACACAAAACATAATTTTCAAAAGATTTATTAGGTCACCAGCTTATTGTAAACTCAGCTGTTTTTAAAACAGAAAAGGAATTAAATTTATCAATCAAGATATTCAGACTTAAAAACTGCTACAATAGATGGAGTATTTCTTTCATAAAAAATAAGGTAAACATTTGTTCATAATGACCTATAACTTGCAAATTCAAAGAACTTCCCAATGTATGTTCTAACTTCATGTTAGGAACATTCTGTGTAGTTTGTATCAATGAATATATATTCATTGCATACTGCAAATATGTATTAAGAGGAGTATACACAAACATCTTAGAAAAATTTGCAGAACACTAATATTATAACCTATCCAAAGGAAGTTTAGACCTAATAAGAGTCCATAACCCTGTTTATTTTACAGTGCCAGACAAGGCTGCTTCAAACAAATGATATTAAAGAGCAAAGTATAACACTGAAACAATGTCTACTGGCAACCGAACTTAAATGCAGTGTGTACTACAATTTCAGAACAAGTACCTTCATTTATATGTCTCCATACTGTAAGTCATGTGAACTCCTTAAAAAAATTCTCATAAGTCAGCTTGTGCTATTAAGCTGATGTTACATTAGAGTTGAAATTATACACCACTGCCATAGAAGCCTCTCTTTTGGGTAGCACAAAGCCTAGGCTCCTCTCCTTCCTCTTTTCCCACCTTTTGTATTCAAATCACTCACTCTACTACATACACTGCTCTATGCTATCCTTTCACAGCATCTGATGAAGTGAACTTGAGATCATGAGACTCTATTTTTAACAATCTGGGTTTTGTTAGGCAGTTGTCCTACTGTTAAAATACATATTGGGTTTTAAAAAATGTAGTTTGGATTCACTGCATTTACCACTGGTCACAGCTCCTGAGCCCAAGTAGCTGTACCTAGTCACAGACATGCTAAATAAATCACAACTGATACACCGGTACTGTACCCCTGGGCCAAACCTAAGAGTGAAAGGGTCATGGGATTCCTCCCTAGAGAGGCAGAAGCATGAGGCCTAATAGCTAGTAACAGTTACTTAGAACCAAGGACAGAGATGCAGTTATCCACAGACCGTGGCCACACCTTTACTGGCTGGTGACAGAGTGAACACATTAAAAGGCAAACCTAATGGTCTCACCACACTGCTGATTTATTATTTTGAACAATTGCAAAGCAATCTGCAGAGGTGTGCAACCATTTGGTGATTTGATTTATCATAAATTCTGCAACACATAAACATAATGGATAATGTAAAGATACTATTTGAACCTTGTTTTTGAAGTTCTTTGCCATTGTTGGATTAAAGTGAAACCTTTAAAACTGTTTGAATACTGTTTGCAGTGCTTTAAAGTAATGGCTGCTAAGCCTCTCCTTTTTTTTCTTCTTCAGATTGATCCAATTAAAACCCTTGATAAACTTTATGGGCTCTAATATTTCCAGCTGAGTGACTGAAACAAAGAGGGTGTGCCTCAAGGCAGCAAGGCAACAATGATAAGCAGCAGGTTAGCCACTAATTTCTCAACCAGGGTAGATTGTGAAAGTGTGATGTTCTGATATCCAAGAAACTGTTCAGGAGAGAATAGGATAAATCAAGTTTAATAACTCTGCTCCTAATTGTTCCCCCAATGCTCAACTCTAATTACTTGGAGAACTCTCCTGACTGTCACCTGATATTAAGTTGTTGGAGGCTGAGTGTGGAACAGTGAGATAATCAATAAACATTTAGTGGGGAGAAGAATGAAGATCCCGTTAAGCAGTGGGAACCTGCAGCACCCAAAGCCCTTCTGCTCATGAGAAAACCTATGGGACAGCCATAGTGATTGCAAAGCAATAATCCAAAGCACCGTTTTTAGACATTGAGGCCTTTAGGCAACAGTACATTTGAGAAAAAAAGGTTAACACGGTCACCCTAATTACAGCCCACTTTCACATACTTCATATATAAGCGAAGACAAGCCAATTAGGTAGAAAGGAAGATAAGGGAAGTTTTATTTGTATACTAATTAAACCCCTGATGAAATTAAAGGAAAAACATACAGCTCTGTAATTGTGTCTGAGAAAGGTCACTTCAGGTTCAGTTATCAGAAAAGCACAGCCTTGAGATATTTCACTTAATCCACAATATAGCCCCTATTTCACTCCCTGGGTCTTAATATTTACAAAAATAAGAAAATTTCAAAGCCTGATAGTACATTTATCTTGAAAAGTTGCTGTGGAAAATCTCAATTGTTAGAAAGTTAAGGCGGAATACGATAACAAGAAAGGAGGTGTAAAAAAAAGCCTGCACATAGAGT